TCTTTCTTTCTTTCTTTCTTTCTTTCTTTCTTTCTTTCTTTCTTTCTTTCTTTCTTCCAGAGTATCGTATCTCGCTGGGCCTGACTGGATTGACTGGCCGATGAGTCCCACCTCCATTTCTGCCAGGATCCTCCGGCCTCTAGCTCCCAGCTCTGGGATTAGAGATACAGGCCACGATAACTTGCTTTCTATTCAGGTTCTGAGAATCCAAATTGAAGTGCCGGTGCTTACACAGCAAGCACTTAACCCACCGAACTTTCTCCCCAGCCCAGGAAAAAACATTTTTAGCTTAAAGAAATTTCCTTGGAACTCAAGAGAGAGTGAATTGGCCAGGCATAGTAGTGCATGGCTTTGACCCCAACACTAGGGAGAGAGAGAGACAAGTGGATCTCTGTGAGTTCAAAGCCAGCCTGGTCTATAGAATGAGTTCCAGGACAGCCAGGACAGCCAAAGTGACACAGAGAAACTCTGTCCCAAAAAGGCATAAACAAACAAACAGCAAGTAAATAAATAAATAAAGAGTTAATTAAAACTGATAGTGAAAACCTAGAAATTCTGGGTTTTCTAGAATTTTCTAAATTCTGGCACACCAAAGCATGGTCTAGCATGCGTAGAGTTTGCTACCCTCATTCTGGGGCTCTCAGAAGAATGCACCAACTTCCCAGAAGCAGGAAATCCCACTGTTATTTCCTGACTTCTGTGTCCTTCCTCACATGCAGCTGCTTCTTTCTGCCCGTGTGTCATAAGCCCATTCCTCGCTCCCCATCCCGCTGACTTAGCCTTATTCAAATCCTCACCATCTCTTTGGAGGACTGTCATCTTCCCATCTGACTCATCATGACTCCAGCCTCCCTAGCTAGCCCTGAGAATGTCTCATTCTTTAATAAAACTCAACTCAGATGTCTCCACCTCTGGCAAGGCTCCTAGGACTTCCCCAGGCCGAGAGCGTTTTTCATAGCCTTCATGGTAGTAGCATTTATCTCCACGTGTCGAATTGGTGACCAGCCTGTCTATCTTTCTAAAGCCCTTCAGTGTAGCTCCTTTGAAGACCTGGACTTGCGCTTATATTTTACATTCTCGGGTGCTGAATTTCATCACCTCATGTGATGGCAAAAGGAAGGAGGGACATAGAGAAGAAATAGAAAAATCCAATAGAGACTTACAGAAATACAGACTCAGTCTTGCCTATAACTTGTAAGCAGTGAAAGGTAATTTCCCTAGAAGAAGTTCTTATTGCTGCATTAGCCAACTGTTCCTCGCTACAAATTTCATACAGTGCTGATTTCCCTTACAATTGCTTCAAAGCTAACTGAGGGGTTTAGAATTCTAAGGAAGCAAGCCGGGTGGTGGTGGCACAGGCCTTTAATTCCAACACTCAGGAGGCAGAGGCAGACAGATCTCTGTGAGTTCGAGACCAGCCTTGTCTACAAGAGCTAGTCCAGGACAGGCACCAAAACTACACAGAGAAACCCTGTCTCGAAAAAAACCAAACAATAATAATGATAATGATGATGATGATGATGATGATAATAATAATAATAATAACAATAATGAATTCTAAGGAGGCAAAGGCCCAGGAAGATTAGGTGACTGCCTGTACTTACAGTCTGTGACAAAGCAAGCCTAGCATCTAAGGTTTCCTGGAGTCCAGGCTGTGGCCCTTGGCACACTGCCAACTAAAGGCCTCTCTCAGACAACAGCTCATAATTACCAATGTCAGTGTTTGAAATTTATATGCTTTATCAGCTTTATTATTACCCGTCTGATTAGTAATTTGGTAAGCTGCCCAGGCATTCAGCAAAACCAGGGTGGAGAGGAGACAAAAAAAGGGAGGCCAAAGCCAAGTAGGGGGTCCTGTGTGCCTATGATAGGGAGCCTAGAAGTGAGCGGAGTGACGCACGACATAAGGCCTTGCGGGGGGCATGAGGGCGTGGTGGCCCCACAGCCTGCCTGGCATAACTCTAGTAGGCAATGTCAGGAAAAGAAAGTCGGCCACTAATGCCAGACTTGAGACAAATCCCTGGCCACCAGAGCTCTCTGCCCAGTGTGAAGGGGATGAGACCCAATCTCCTCATTAACCATGGGATCCTGATCCTGGCCCTTTCTCTGCATGCTAGGCGCTAAAGGGAACTGCCTTAGATGGCGCACCTCTCACCATTCAGTGTTCCGTGGCATGCTCGGATGGACCATAAGCGGATCACTGCAGACTTTGGTTCCCAGGGTCCTTCAGCCACCCCCACTCTGGAGTGTCCTTTGCTTGTCCCTACTTACCTTTCTTTGATGAGAATATGCTTTTCTTCTGGCCTCTGGGTACTGCAAAGAATCTCAAGACGTGTTGTGAATGGGGGGGGGGGGGCATGAGAAATATCTTTATCCATTCAGAGCACTCATGGGAGGGCGATCCTCATTCTAAATAAAAAAGAAACCGAAAAAGGGGCACAGAGAAAGAGCTGCATAGAGGCGAACACATAGAAGCCAGAACCCTATGGTCAGATTTCAGGTCTCCCCCTGGGAGAGCTGCCGAGATGGCTCACCCACTGGGCCTATTGGCTGCCAGTGTGTCACATATGTCCTTACATGACCCCTCATAGGTGGATTCTGTCTGCAGGCTTTGACGGGTTTGGTAACTTCCTCCGGGTCACACAGTGAGTGGGACAAGCTGTCACCAAAACTTGGACCCATGGTCTTTGAACACTGTGTACTTCCCAACACAGAACCGACATCACCAAATCCAGAAATTTAAGCTGTGTTGAGCTCAGCATTCTCGTCCACATTTGGGAATCAGAGGGTGCCCAGTAAATTGTTAAGAAAATTAAATGAGATTGCCTTAGTTAAATAAATAAATAAATAACCTGGCATGGTGTCTGGATTTTAGTAGGCATTCAATAAATAATTTTTGTCTGTTTCTCCTTTTAGGACTGATCAATAATTAGAACTCAGAGCTTGGGAGTATAGGAGCTCCAAAATGCTCTAAGAAGCCCAAAGGCCGCCTGCATCGCTTCTGGGGCGCGGAAGGAGGCAAGGGAGAAGGGCTAGGGTAGTGGGTTTGGCCCCAGGAAGCAGAAAAGCCGGTTCCAGCTGCGCGCCCCTCGCGCCACCGCCGCCTCCTCCGGGCTCCCCGACTTCCCGCCCCGCCCCGCCCCGCCCCTCCCGGGAGCTGGGTCCGGAGTGCCTGGTGGGCTGATTCTGGAGCGTGGAAGGGAGCACGGAGGAGAGAGGGAGGCGGTGGCTGTGGGAGGCGGGGAGGCGGGGACCCTCCTCGCCGCTCCCTGAAGTCGGCGCGGAGCCGCCTCGGGCTGGGGAGGCATTAA